GTAGTGGTAGTAGTGGTAGTAGTGGTAGTAGTGGTAGTAGTGGTAGTGGTAGTAGTAGTAGTGGTAGTGTTAGTGGTAGTGGTAGTAGTAGTAGTAGTGGTGGTAGTAGCACGCACGCGAGAAGGGCCAGCGCCGGTCACACACCTTTCCGGGCCCCAATGCGTCTAGATCTCTAGACTTTCTGCTGCTACACCTCTGGACATCACACACACTGTTTGGGGTCTGTTGCCGGGATATTTATGTGGTAAGGCTGGTAAGGTAGCAAGGGTAGGGTGGTCGGAGAAAGGCATCCCTTTCTGATGATTTGATTGTGGCTTGTTACGATTTTTTTCCAGATGTAAGGTTAGATTTGGATCAACTTTGCAATGGGCTTGCTTTTTTACAGGTTTGTATTTTCTTGACTGTCAACTCTAGAATTGGAGTTGACAGTGGTCGGCTGGTTCCCATTCAGAATAGGATCATTTTCATGGAAAGAGGGGTGTGGTGGCTTCTCGGTTTCGGGAGGGGTTCAAGTTTACAAAATGGCTTTTGACAAAGCTGAAATAGCAAAACCCATACAATTTCCATACGGGAGGCTTTATTGATCAACAGTCTGACAGTCTATTGACTTTCCTCAATATGAACACAACGAGTTTGTGAACGCATGTCTGTTAGTACATGTCAATGCTGTGGGGGAGCCCAGGAAGCAACGCTCGGCTTGTGATCAGTTGATTCTACATCTGTTCGAAGGTTTTTACTTTCCTCAACATTCACGCGGTTCACATTGACTCACCGACCAACACTCAGTGGGGTAGGGTCCCGTCTCATTTGAATTCAGGGCCGAGTGGCACCGAGAATGACTAAACAACACATCCGGTTGCCGCGAGTGATTCACCGGAAGACCCGGCCGATCCCTTTGGGCCCAACTGGGGAGGCCTGTGGCCACCACGTGATGTCTCTGTGGAAGAGAATCACGAAGAGTCCTTAGATCTTGGACCTACGATTCATCATCTCCGTGACAGAATCTCAAAAATCCTAGCTCAAGATCCTCAGACCAACAAACAAGTTGTTCTTCGAAAATTCAGTCATTGGAAGAAAATCCGGGCTGAGGATCCTCAAACCCTGGATTTTTTTCAGTCGTTGAAGAATCCGAGTTTCACGTTCTGAAAGTAAGTATAATACATTCCGGTGGACAAGTGCTTTTCTCGGGGCCACGATCGCCGGTCCAGAATTTGCAGGATGTCCAAACCTGGGTCACCAACTTGCGTCACAAGGCCATCGGCAGTCGTGGCGCCGGAAAAACGGCTGTCATCCATGTACGTCCAAAAAACCTGCGGGTCAAGGAGGGGAGTCCTTTTAAAGCGTATGAAAATGTTGGAATCCGGTGCATCACATATATTCGGTTTTCCTCAACATGTTCACCCTTCTTCTGTGTTGATGACCTCGTGGAACTCTTTTGCAGCACATTTTTACTACCTGTTTTGAAGCAGGCTGTCCCGGTCTTCTCCGGACCATACCGGACCAGCCAACGTGCATTCATTGACTACTTTCTCATCGGGTGCGGCGTATTTCAGAGAAACCACATCTTGGATTGCCCATGGTTCACCAGCAGGGTGAGAGCGAGCTTTAGGTTTGCAACCGTCCACGTGATTTTGGATGATATGGAACGTGTTCTGAATGATTTCTTCTGCAACAGCAATCTTGTTCCGCCACTTCATCTTCTCCCCCATCGCACAGCAGGTGGTGGCGGAGCACTTTCACGACGACATGGATTACAATATCGTGATTGGGCAGAACCCCCTGGGACTTCATTTGGACGACGACACTGGCAGCATCTCCTATGACTGGGGCTCCTATGGGATTCATATCCTCCTCTCCAGGACGTGAGAACGCGCGCCAGCCAACGGCGCGTGTCGACACCACATGACCCCCTGAAGAGGGACTTCGAAATCTAGTCAAAGCATCAGGATTGCAGTGCGCTGCGGCAGTGCGTGTTGATTGTATCATATTTGATTGTGTACTTAACAAACAAATACATACAACTACCTATTATATTGTTTGCCGAAGTAGTCTAGCCACAACATATATTTGCTACACTAGAAACGTGGAACATTGCTGAAGTCATACAAATTTGGGAGGAAACGTGCAAATTCTCAAGGTACACAAGAAATACCCGTACATGGGCATAGTTACCCGTACGCATCTCCGTAAGGTCCGTAATTTGCAACACATGAACTTTGCAGGGATTCGACGCAGAGAACAAGAATGTTTTGACTAGATTGTTTGCACTATCCAGGAGGCTTTCCGCGTTCAACCCCGAACAAATCCATGCCTTGCCCTTCAAATTTGCAACGTTTAATACTTGTACCCGTTCGGGTCCCCGTGTGTACCGGGGGGGTGGCGTTCCGGCGTTCCGGCGGACGGCTCCCGTGTGGAGCGTTGGTCCTTGCATAGCTTGGTGAAGTGATTTTGCTGGACAGTCGTAAATGCTTTGGCCAAATGCTCCTCCCCCAAAAAAAAGAACACCCCCCAAGCTGTTTCTCAGGCAGTGCTGCAAAAAAGAATCCGTGCTGTTGTGTAAAAGGCCGTTATGAGTTCTGACGTGTAAATCCTTACAAACAACACAAATTCGAATTCCAGAGAATTGCAAGAGTATTTTTCTGGTTTTATGGGTAGCAGACATAGTAGCAGACATATTGTGGCATAATTTGATGAACAACTACAGCTGCAGCACCTAGCTTTCCTCTGGGGTTGCACATGTTGTGCACCACACTTCCCCCCTGATTTGAGCCACGCGTGTTGTCCGTCCCAATGTCTGGCTGGGTGCTGCCTCCACCTCTTCTCATGGGAGTCCATGTGCAGGACGGATGACACCGATGACGACACTTGACGTCGTCAGCAGATGCCGGTATCGGGTATGCAAGTATTGGGTCCACCCGTGGCCCTTGGGATCCAACAGCATGGATCCCTGAGTGGCCTGAGTAGAGCTTGAGAATGTCATCAGAACTGAATTTCGCATCAATCAATCAGCTCTGTTGGCTATAGGTGAAGGGGGTGCCCAATTTAGACCAGTTTCAACATCTCCACCGTCTTTCCCGGCCCCACCGACAGCGGAACGGCGGCGCAAGAAAAAGGGCACCGTGGTCCGTGGGCCACCGGGTACGGGTAGATGTACACCGTCCGGACGAACACATGGACCGTGGGCGCGGTTCACCCCCCTATTTGCGGACATTGGAGGAAGGATGAGGAAGGAACCTCATCTGTAAGGTGAGTGCTTCTTCTTTTCACTTCCATGTGCTGTGGGTCACAGTGGGTCATGAGCATCAAGGCGGTCCAGAACCTGTGGAGCTAGGGGCGCTGCGATCCTAACACCGGCAAAAGAATCTAAGTAAATTTAACCAACTGTCATTTACCCATGTTCGATCCTCTCTCTATTCAATGTGCCAAATTGGATGCCTTGAGCTTGCAAGCTTCATCATGTTTTTCATCCTCTCTTGATGGCTCACGGCATCTCACGGCTCTCGTGACCTGGTTCGATCCAGGTCAAACGAATGCAGCTACGACCTACTCCGACCGAGGCCTCCTCGGCCTATCCCATCCTCTCGGCGATGCTCGGCCGCGGCCACGGCGCCGCGGCGCAACAACGACGCGGAAGACCGGGTGGAACGTACCGCGACGGGAGGCCGGCGCGGTCGGGCGAGGACACCGAAATCACGCCCAGACGATCCATGTATGAGTCACTGATGGTTACTTACATAGGGTCATGTGATGTCATGTTTGTAAACGATGGGCATATCTAAAATATAAATTATATAGTGCACCAGAATAGATGGCACAATCTCCCGAATCTTTAAATGTAGGTGAATCGCACAAGACCCCAAGACCCTTAAGACATGAACGATGCGGGGAGATGTCTTCCAGTCCCATGGATGGTCTGAGAGATTGACAAATTGAACCGTTGGATCCTTTACCTGTAGTGGTGGTCGCTGTTCGCGGGCGAAAGTACTCCAACGCAGGGATCACGCGGCTTGGTTCCCGCGGCGTGTCTCCGATGGCTTCTTCGACGTCGAAGCCCATCCGGCGTTTCGCCGCAAGTGAGAGGGTCCGTGAAATGCCTAGGTCGATGGACCATGGGAAACTTGGGTGCTGGCGGTGCCTTGGCAGGGGTATCGCCTGTATTTCGAAGGGTTTGGGTTCGACTCATGAAGACTATCTTCCTGCTGGGGCAGTCCATGCTATTTTTGCAGGGAGGGTCCTGACGTCGTGCTGAAGCGTCGGAAGACACAGCGAGGTTGTGAGGTTGGTTTTTTCAATGTTTTTGGATGATGCCCGTGGAATCCTTTGTGTAGCTGAGTAATCAGTGGCTTCTTCACTTTCTCTGAGTCCTGGACGGTCCTCCAGAGATCTTGGTCCTTTACGAGATACTGACAGAATGATTTTCAGAATGATCAAACAAAACGAGACTTGTACCGTAAACCTAGTGGGTGTTGCACCTCCATGCCCGACGGCGACGGGCTCGCCGGCTGACTGAACCACCAGGATGGGGCCTCTTCAGCATGGGTGCAGTCTTATCGGCCTCCCTAGGCGTCTCATGCGGGGAGGGAAGGGAGCAGCGCATGGAGCACCGAGTCCATAGCGCAAAAGTATGCCAGTCATATCATGAAACCTACGGGAGGAGCGATTTCTGCTTCATGCTTGGGATGCCATTGACATTGACGCATCTCCCATTGATTCCCATTGATCTATGCATGAATAAGCTCATGCAAGGCGCGAGACTGTTGGACTTTCTGGTTCATGTTTTCGTGAGAGGGTGGAGCCAAGCGCCACCCGATACACTGGACTTGGCTTGGAGTGGGCGGCTTGGGGGTTTGACTTGGCTCCTGCCATAAAGCCATAGAAAACTCAAATGAAGTCCATCTAGTTGAGGAGACATAGCCAGTGGAGCGTTTGGATTTCATACCAGGTCTCGGCGAGAGATGGGGGGAGCTTTTGCACAGGTTCAGTCAGGTTCATATTATTATAGAGTGTGCATTGCATTGAGTAGTTTTTTATGTGTGTTTTTTTGTTGTATCATTTGTTTTGTTTATTATAGGATTCTTCACTCACACGGTTAAGCTGCATTTGGGTCGACCATGCTTCTTCGTGCTTGGAGGCTTGGCCATGAGCATCCTTTTCCTCTCACACCTTTGGCGACTTGGCAAGGCGATGAAACAGGTGTTTCTGGGATGTGCTCCCAGTGGTTGGCTTACAAAAGGCATCATCAGAATGCATGTCCTGCAATCTGCTTGGTGGATGTGAAGATGTGTTTTCAGTGTGACCCCAGAACATCCAGAACTACCAGACTGGTACAATCTAAGAGGCTTGAACCCAAACCTGTAGTTCTTGTCATCTCCTCAAGCTGGTTCCCTTTTTCTTCAAGCGGACGAACGAGTACCGGACCGACGGAGCTCAACACCGAGCTCCAGTCCGTTGCCGAAGACGACCCCAGGACTATGAAGGAAGCCACTGGATGGGTTGGTAGATTGCTGCATGGCTTGAAGCATTCCATAATTGAACATATCATGTTAACATTGAAAAAGAAGCACCTCGAACAGACACTAGTATGTTGCACGGGCTTCCCCAATGCCCTGTTGGCTGATATTTTTTGGAAAACTCTGTTCTTCGAGGAAAAGGTAGAAACCAGCCCAGGAAAAAGAGCTCAGCTGCTTTCATGAAAAAGGCCGGACATGTTCACCTTCTACCTCCCGTGCGCATGCTCCCCACTGGGACGCCCCACTCGTGTCGCGGGGTTTCACCTCCCGCAGTCACCGAGGCTGATGGCGGTGAACCGCACCTCCATCGAAGTGGCCTACTCGGGCAGGACCAGCCTACGAGGGCGAAGGGTTTTGGCCCGCGAGGTCTCTCGACGTGTGGGGACGTGAATGCTAGAATGGAACCGAGACCGGGGAGAGAACTGCAGATCTTTTTCGATGTTTTATATAGTCTAGCCGCTCCATTCGCACATATTCGCACATATTTTAGTTTTTTTTAATGTTGTTTCGTTGTGGTTGAGAGGTTCAAGGCTTCATGAAGCCTCAAGGAGGATCAATGAGCATCAATGGCTTTTGACCCATGGCCACAAGGCTAGTGCCAGGCACAATCCTCCAGTTGATGTTTGCATTTTATGGCAAGTAATCATGCCCAGCTTTGGGTCAGAAACAGGGCCTTTTGACCAAGCAAAGCGGATAAGTACCCTACCCCGGAACAAGTACAGGCTGTGAACAAGGGCACGATCTCCATCCATGAATCCAGGCTGCCAGCTGAAGCCGTCCACCTTCGAAGGGAGCCAAGTAACTCTGACTCGTGAGCTCGTCCTCCTCGTCATCTTCCACTCCGCTGGTTTGTGTGGACAACGCCGCGACGCTTGGGCGTCCTTCAGACAAAGGTAGATAAGCGCTTGGAGTCCATGACCCCTCTGCATGTTCGCTGCCTGCGTTAGCTGCTTGTATGCCGCATCTACAGCATCTTCTGCTCCCATGGTCTTTCCTGCACCAACACGTCGCCTAGACGCAAGTCTGTAGCCTTCAGCTGGGTGGTTCCCTGTCTGCCGGGTCTTTGACCATACCGATGAGCTCCTACCAAGAGCGTTTGTTTGAGCTGACCATGGAGAGAGGTGGTGATGGACCTCGAAACACGTTTGGTGTTGGCTGCTCGAACAAGTAATACGAAGACGGCAAAGCAGTTCCACATAGTTCCACACTGGATCCACTTACCCTGTAGCGAGCGACCTAGAAAGAGTCTCATGGTTCCTGATATTTGGTGGATCCACTGGGGAACTTATGATTCGAAACTAATTACTGGCGAAGGCTTCGCAGTTTGACACAGGCGAAGCGAAAGCACATTTAGATTTTATGAAAGGCAAAGGAGCGCGAAACCACTTGGAATCAACCAAGCCCCGCGACAGACCTTTCCACAATTTGTTGCCCGAAGCCGCAAAGCCTTCAGCATTGGCTTTCCAGCAGCGTGTAGGCACTCGACTTCATTTTCGTTGAAAACCCATGGCCCAATTGACTTGATGCGGAGGAATCCCTACAGCCACGGCATTTTGCAGAATGTCCGGGGTCCAAGGGCGGCTCTTGGGAACCAATGACTCCTCTCTCATTGCTCGAGGTGAGGGTTTTTCTCCACGGTGCAAAATGTGTCTTCCACGCGATACATACATCATGCTTCATCATGCTACCCCGTGTCAAAGCCTCCACTGTGTTACGCGTGGAACATCCAGCTAGAGCAGCTAGAGTACTAGCTCCATGTTGAACACCTCCGAAATCCTCGCAACACTATGCATCCTGAATCATGGGCCCTTCTGTTTTATGGAAATCCATGATCCGGCACATTGTTGTATTGGCATCGCAATGTCTATTCATGTCCAACAATTATTCGTTGGACCATGGAAACTGGATTTAATGTATGAAGAAGAGACTGCGGATCTTCAGGAAACATCAACTTGGGCGCGACTGGGGAGGGCACTTTCATGTTGTTCCAAGTGGGCACCCTCCCCATTCCGTAATCCTATTCAAAAGATTTCTCAGGTCTCCCTCTCAAGCCAAACTAAGTAAACCTTTTGCGGATGCTGCCCACGCTGTCATTGTTGGCTCATGCGCTCAAAAGTTGCCCATTCAGCGAGTTTTACTCGATAGGACAGGGAGCCAAATTGTATTACGGAGCCATACCCAGATGGTTCACCCATGTTGGCCCAGATAGTTCCCTTCTTGACCTGGCGGCCAGTATATAAAAGACCAGACGGGTTTACTTAAGACTGTGCCCGTTTTTTACCTCACATGTACATTCATAGCTATTCGCGCGTTTTTTTTGAGCATCCGTTCGCGTAATTTAGCGCGGTATTTACGCGTATTTAGCGCTCATGTTTTCATCGGTCGATGTAAAACACACTGTAAATACGACATCAGAACTGTGCCATGATTCCGAGGGTTTTGGTCGGACGGCACGTTAACGTTCGGTTCAAATTGCACGCTCATACAGAAGAAACCCTTCTAGGTTGCTACACAATGCGAACGACTGAGTGTGGGTGGGGTGGGGTGGGATGGGATGTTAGCGTTCGGTCCGGTTCAAATTGCACGCTCAGTTGCACGCTCATACAGAAGAAACCCTTCTACACTGCTACGCAATACCAGTACTCGTGCTGTGTTGCGCATACATGTTTGCTTGCACACCTGAGGTCCTGAGGTCCTGGTCTAAAGAAACGCTATTTGTCTTCCCAAAAAACCGTGAAAACGTCAAAAAAGACACGTGGTGTTTTCACAAACGGGTCGCAGTCTTAAATAAGCCCTCACGGACACCTTCCAAGAGAATACATATTATATACCTGGAACCCGGCATGACCTCTGTTTTGATAGGAAAAACAAGACCATATTTTTGGGTGATTTCTGGTCCAAAAGAGAGGTCAATCAGGTTCTAGGTGTATATATACATCATCACCGGTGCACATAAATGTAAAGTAAAGGGGGTGCACTCCTCCACCTCTGAATACACATCTCCCGGTCTCCAGAGTTCATTGTTGTTTTATACAAGTTTCAAGATGTGATGATTATGGATGTCCCCCGCCCCCTTTCATACATGTTCCAAGAACAAACGATTTCGTATGTTTCCTCAAGGCGGACTCCCCCTTGCTTTCAGACATTATCTGAAACGAACAGCAGTCACAAAGGAGTGGTTTTTAGTCCCCAAGTGAGTGGATCATGGGCACCCCTAACCTCCAATGGAGCACCCCTTTGTGACTGCTAGAAACTTCCTTTATTTCCAGTGATTTCCTTAAAACATCTTCGACCCCATGGGTTCAGACGATTGGCACAACCGGGCGGACTGCGGTTTCTTCGTTTCCTGGGATGGGCGCACAGAACGACCTCCCCGTTCGCATTAAAAAAAAAAAATGTTGCCAGAGGCCAACCGGAGAACATGAACCGACTCGCACTCCACAGGAACCAACACCAAAAAACCATAGAAAACCACCTCCCAACATCGCCCAGGAGCCCACCAGACCCCCCACGAGTTTCGTTGACCAATGGATGGGGCGTGATGGGTGCCGCTATTGCAGCACTTATACCCCCCTGGTATGTCGTCGCCCCCAGACCTGTGCATACATTGGGGCCTAGATTCTCGACCTGTCTTTCATACATGTTGGGAGATTTTGGTTGACCCTGTCCCCCCCCCCGGTTCGCACAATGGGCGCAAATGCACCAAACATGTAGATGTGCATGGGTGAGTGCGTCCCCCCTGTACATACAATCAAGTCTTGACCGGCCACCCCCTGCCTTTCAGACATATCCCTAAGAATGTTTCCAGAAACACCGAGGGAACAACCATAGTGATATTGAGACATCCTTTTTCTCTATGTTAACCCCGCCCTGTTCGAAAAAGCCTTCTCAACACCTGTCCGGCCAAGGCTGCACAGCTTTGTGGGCGCTGTGGTCGGGACGGCCTGGGCGGAGTTTGGCTGGAAGAAAGTGCTAGAGCTGCTAGGGGAAGAGAGTGAAAGAAAAGCGAAAGCAAATCTACAGTTAACCCTGACGGTCTATAGATGTTTTTTCTTGGTGTTTCTAATTGTTTTTGGTTTCAACCCATTACTAAGTTTACTGTGTTTACTTTCCAATTAAGCATGCTGACAGGGACAGGGTGCTGGGATGGGATGTCCTCTCAGCAGGTTGGAAGGCCAAAAGGATCCATCTCCGAATTCGGAGTCGAGGGTTCGCTGCTGTCGAGCGAGCATTGTGCATGTTTCTTTTAAATCAACAACAGGACGCCACAAGGAGGCCCTTGCCGGCCTATTTGTTGTGGCGTGTGTGTGTGTGTGTGTGTGTGTATGTTCGCCATTCATAGGTCGAACAGCGGAATCGTCCGATGTGCCAAGAACCGGACTGTCGGTGTCGGGTGGGGTTTTCGAAGGTGGCACGGAAACGGTCTGTGTGTGGGCGACCAAACTGCAAACAATCCCCCTGACATGAGCAAGTATATAGGAAAACTCCACACATCATGAAACACCAAGCGGAAAATCCACCCAGACTGAAGCATTGCAAGACGATGCAAGACCCAGGTTTGGAGTTCTTCAATGTTTCTCGTTCACTCGTCTAGGTTTCACAAGGCTAGCAGCTTATGTCACAGATAGCAAGAACATCAAAAATATGTTTCTAAAATTATTTGACTTGGAGATTTGTCAGCCTGGCGGGTCCAAACCTGCAGCTCCATGTCAACCCTGGTAGGTTGACATGGCCAGATTCGGTGATTCGGTGCCGGTGCCGGTGCTTTCTGGCTTCACCGCACCGGAGATGGCACGAGCGTAGCACGGTGTGTTCGTTCGTCCTGAAGTAGATATGGAAAGAATGGAAATAGATCCAACGTCTGGAAGACTCCAAAACCACTGCGTTTGACGGATGGCTTTGGATGGCTTTCGATTTTCCACACCGAAGCCGCAAGGTCTCGACCTCCCTACTATGTTAATACAGACCCACCTCCCGGAAATATCGAACCCCTTTCTTCCGAACCCGCCGCCGAGGCGTGGACTGGTTGCTGCCGATCGCTCCGTTGAGGCCGATCGATTGCCGCCGTGTGTGTGTGGAGTTCGGGCATGGCCGGGTGTGATGGCGCTGGACGAGGCGCCTGCACGAGGAGCGGCTGGAAGTCTCCCAGGTTTCGCAAGGTGGATGCTCCTCAGGAAGATGGTGGGTCTATATGTTGTTTTTCTCATCTGATTCAGGTGCTGCAGATGGTCACAGATCGACTGATGATGTTGTTTCATGTTGTTTCTATTTGGACCTGGCAGGGAATGAGGAGCTAGTGAGATTCGTTTTAGTGCGGTTAGTACAGGTTGGGAGTATTCTGTTCATTTCTGTTCTTGGTTCAGTTGAGATGGCACGAGCCCAAGATGAAGAGGCTGGGCCATTTATATACTGCGTCCACACTGTTGCCACCAAAGGCTGGTGCCAACAAAATAGCATAGGGGAAAGGAGATGAGATTGATGGTGGTGTTGTGTCAGGTCTTTACACGTTTCCAGGATCGTGCAGATGCATCGTGGCAGATGCCGGGAAAGCAGGGAACACAAGCACATCAGTGACAGAAGATTGAAAGAAACTCAATGATTGATTGATATTTGATGATATTTGTATCCCCCATCCATGGGACTGGAGCTTTGGATGGGTCATTTTGGGTGGTGCGCACACCGAATTCATTCGTTCAGATGGTCTGGGTGAAAACCACTTGGAGCAGCCCACCACGAAGGGTCGGTGTTGCCATCGTCACAGACCACCGCTGCACATCACATCCCGCTGCAAACGAAGCTGAAATGCTTCGCTCTTCTCATCACCACCAAGAGAGGTGGAACGTGATCGTATAGAAATAGGACCCGGAAAACCTGGGGTACCCAACTGGGATAGTCGAACAGTCGGGTCCTTCATGGTCCTGACCCACCTCTGTTGGCACCTACTAAGACGTAGAGGTCGCACGACGTGGGACTGACCCAAACCTGGCCAGCTCCTTGTGGCCGCCATTTCGCAGTCTCCTGGTCAGCTTTCCAATGACCTCCGGCACGGGGGGAATGGCCGTCCACGACCCGTCCAACGACCTGTCCATGGTGGACCACTCTTCGCCGGCATCGTCTGGACCGGGCAAGGCCCACCAGCGACGGCTGCAAGTTCCTCCCGGAGCACCGCGCGGCGCGATCGTCCCGAGACACCCGCGGGATCGATGTTCGTCGGGTGGCAAATCTGGCGACGTGGTGACATGGTGCAGATCTGGAAAAGGAGGGAAAAGGTAGAAGAATTGGTTGAAGGGACGTTCTAGATGATACACGAAACATCACAAAAGCCGTTATTGAGGGTGAAAACCATGGGTTTCCCGTGGTTTCCTGATGTTTCCTGTAGATATTCCCTTCAGGCTTTTGAACATTGATCGATATTGAACATGTTATACAGATTCAGGTCAGTTCTTTGTTTCTATGATTTCATTCATCAGTAATCAGCAATCAGCTTGATGTTTCAGGAACACAGTCTTTTCCACGTTGCTTAGCGCAGGGTCGATGGGATCAGCCTCCCATGACGGGCAGGGGCTACACTCAAATGACTCATCGTGAGTGATGTTTCAAAGACTGTTAAAGCCATTGAGGTAGCTTGTAAGGCCACATATCCTGAGAAGTTGCTGGAGGTGTTTTCTTCTTGCAGGGGTGAGGGATGTAGGTTGATCAATCACGATGCATTCAAACCCAGTATCCCCTGCAGTCACGTCACATAGTTCAGCATTGCGCGGAAACATACTCATTTGGATGCTTCTCCTAGACCAAACATACCACACCATGACGTTCAGTCTTTTGGACCATCACAACACAAGGGCTGAACACCAGTAGTGTGCGCGCTTGTGTGGACTTATGTAGATGAAGAGTCGGGCTGAACCGCGAAGGACATGTCAGTAGGAATACCAGAATCTTAGACTTGGAATTAGTCTTTAGTCTCTAAACAAGAATCTTAGGATCTCCAGGATCTCCCAAGAACAGCAGAAACAAGGGGTTCAATACTCCCCAATCAGTGTAGCTCAGGTAACCACCCCCTATGTGTCACCGCCCTCTTCACCACCGCCCTCTTCACCACCGCCCCAACTCGTCGTACCGCGAGGGAACTCGCGGCGAGGACTACAACCGCGTGGATCCGGAGATCGGACTGTGACCGAGTCGGACTGCACTGGAGCGCTTGGGCTCGGAGCGGGTTGGGGACCAGATGGCAGGCCACGTCTGCTTTCGTCATATATAAATGAAACCGAGAATAGCGTGTATCATGTCTATTCTTTTTTACGGTGTAGTTGTTTTCTCGGCCAGTTCTTAATATTGGTGATTGCCCAGTCCTGGCTCCACTTTTGTGAGATCTTGGCTGGAGACGTTGTTCATCGGAGAAAGACCCGTTGGGTTGTTCATAGTCATGACAACAAGACATGAACGCCCAGCATCTATAGGTGTTCAATTAATAAAACCTCCCCATTTGGATTGTAAAACCATGTAAAACCTCTGGACATGAGGGTTGAAATATCATTGAGGGTCTACATTGATTGACCTTCTTCGTGTTGACCTCGTCCTGATCGGGGGTCTTCAACCTCAAGCGCTTCCAGTCGGATGGCCAAATGGCCACTGCCAGCAATTCTTCTTGTCTCACCAGCTGCGAGGTTCCAACGCCGCTCTCCCAGGATGGCACTCCCACGAGCTTGCTTTGGTATATTAAAACGATGGAAGATGCATGACTCTTGCTGACTGGTGCGACTCGTAGGGAATGAGGGTGGCTGGATCCAAAGGAATCTCTATTGGGGGCTCATTCCCTCATTCCCTACTAAGCACCAGTCAGCTTGACTCTTGACCCTTCAACCTAGAAGTGAGAGGAGAACAACATCCCACAGCGAGATATCGCTCGCTTTCTCAGCTTGAAGCAGAAACCACTTGGGGTCGCCGACATGTAGGCCACGTCTTCGCTTGGGGTCGCTGGTTGCGGTGTACCTGTATTATACGTAGGGTGGATTTACAACGGTCATGCGCTGGACACCAACTGATCTATTTTGCCGCTTTGCAGCACGTTGTTTACCTTGCATTGAACCACTCCATGTGGGATTTCTAGTTCACAGCACCCCTCGGGTGAGGGATGCTGCGACTAGATCTGAAGAGATCCAACGCTGGTGTTCATTCTGGCTGGACATTTTTGTGGGTTTTGGGGCTTTGTCTCAGTCTCAGTCTCACACATGGGGACACCCTTAACATCCCTTAACCAAAGAACTGCCAAGCTGCTTGCTGATGTTCCCCTTTCAATCATTGACTCGTTTCAGGAGCATTCAGAACCTACACAAACGTACGAAAGGACGACCCCCGTCCTTGTGGTCTCCTGTGGGGTGTCAATCTGAGCTGACTTTGGCTGGTGAAGCAAAACACGTGTGAGATGGCGCGAGCGCGGTTTGCGCTGTCCGTTTGTTGTTTGCTTTTTAGAGATGATGATGTGGATGTGCCTTTTTCTTAATGTCCATCAGTCGGACCATGTGACTGCCTTTGAAATCAGATGAAATCAGCCGCACATATGGTATTTTGTTTTTGTTCCAAGGTTGCTCGGATAATCAAGGAAACTCCCTGAAAGTTTGAGTCTTCTTATTTCCTAGTTGGTGACTGGAGAATCTACATATATCGATGGTTTCTCCTGTTTCCGCAGTGGACGGGCACCGGGTACCGAACAAGAACCGCGAGTCTGAGCCCAACGTTTTCGTGGCCACACGGTGAAACGGGTTCTGAAACGGGTTCTCTAGACTGTTTGCTTCTACACCTCTAGCCTCTAGACCGTCTAGACCTCTGTCGACACACTTTCGCCATGGGTTCTCGACCTTCGCCAGGATCATGTTTAAACCACGTGGTGACCATCCTGAAACGCATCCGTCCGATCGGGGGACGGTGTTTCTGGCGCATTAAGACGAGCTTCTGAGCTTCATGGCGGTTCGACATTCGGTGTGTATACGGTGTGTATTTTATAGTTTTATATAAGGTGTGTAAGGTGCGTATAAGCGTGTTTTTGTTGTGTTTTTCATTTTTGGGCTCAACAGGTTGACGGGTCCTTTTTCCGAACCGAACCTTCCGGGGGTCGGTTTCTTTCCTACTTGAGCTACACCGTCACAGTGGCATTTTGATCATTTATCTCAGACACGGCCAAATGCCCGGGGACTGGAAATGTATATACCCCGGGAAGACCCCTTTTCAACCGAACCACCCCAATATACTCCAATGTTCCATGGGGGTGTTTGGGACATATTTGGATCATCCAGGTGTGCAAATCAAGCAAGCCCCTGGTTTGGGGGGGATCTCATTTTGGTCGAAGCCAGAACCGTCGACTTGGACGAAGGAGAACAAGCAGATTTGGACACCGGCATGCTGTGGCTCCGATCGGCCCCTTGGGCCCTGTAAACTGCCATACGCGCCACCGTCGCAGGGGTCACCGCATACGGGCTGAAGACCCCATTCCAGTCATATCCAGTAACAGGTCCAAGAGCCATCAGAAAACCGGCGGTTGTGCCGCATCACGGCCTAAAACAAACGACCCCTCTCTCCGCTTGGCCCCGGCTTGATCCGAGACAGGCAGCTTCGAGATGACCTCATGACCTTGCTCATCGCCGGACACGAGACCACGGCCGCCATGTTGACCTGGGTGCGGGGGGGGCTGCGCGTGGTGGCCGGGGCCTGCGCGACGTGGACGTGATGACAGGTGCAGAGGTATAGGAGGGTTGGTCAGTGCTGGCCTGATGGAAAATCCTAGGTTAGTGACAAGTGTGGTTTGGGCCTTGTCAAAGTGGTTAGCTTGAGCTCGATGAATGGGAGGATTGATGAACTCATGGGCCTCATGGGCCCTTGTGAAAGGTGGTGGGTTCAAGAAGGCCCATGCTATGGATCTTCCGGGCGAACATGGCATGATCGGTGGCAGATTTGTGCAGTCACAACCCACCTTCCCATCCACCTTCCCCAAGCGGTGCAATGCGTCAAGAAGTATTTCCTCCATCTTCCTCCAAGAATGCCGTGACTTCGGCTAGATGCTGTGTTAGCACAAAGGACTGGCTGCCAAGGGAAGCCAGATGCTGTGTGGTGGCCCACCTCCAGACCTCACCCGCACACCGACCCCTCCGGTCAACAGAGACGCCAAACGAACTCGCACGGACATTCTCCAGACGCTACACGAGCTGATGAAGCCGGAGAACCGGAAGTTTTTGGATGAGATCCATGAAGAGGTGCAGTCAATTTGGAACTCTCTGAGTTCCGCTTGTTGAGCGCGGGGTGCCGGGATAAGATATCGTGACGTGGTCCGGTCAGATCTTTTTTTGGGGCTCCAGGGTTGGATCGCACAATCAGCAGAGCCCGGGGAGTTCATTTTATTTGTAAAGCAGAAGGCATGGCCTGATGGGATTTCGGTTTGGACATGTTTGTACAGGGAGATTCTGATTTGTTCAAGTTTCATGATCTGTAAGCTCCTGATAATACGCTCTGAATTATTTTTACAAATAATGTTGATGTAAATGCTGTAACCAGGACCCTCTAAGGGGTGTCCAAATAGCAACCCTTAGCTTGGAT